CACCTTTATCCAGGCCCAGCTCCACCTTTATCCAGGCCCAGCTCCACTCACATCTCAGCCCTGCGTCAAGCTGCGCTACAACCAGCCTCCTCTCCCTGAAGCTCTTTGACCTCATCATCTCATCAGTATCTGGGCCTCATGTTTCGTGGTGATGAAAGTTATTCTGACCACGAAATCATCCTCATTCTACTTTGAGTTAAAACAAACAACCTGCAACCAGATGCGCCGGTGTTCCGGTTTAACGTTAATGAGTGACCGCATTACGAACGTTAACAGTCTACAAAGTTCCGCGTCAAAGATGTTCTATTGTGAAGATCACGACATCACATTTTCTCCTCATCTCACTCCAATCTGAGAAACGCTGGCTGGCAACTCAGCGTAAATGAACGACATGAAAATATGAATATAACACATTTCCATGACTTTTCCAAAACTTTTGGGATTTTATTTTTTTCAAGCACTTTTCCAGGCCTGGAAATAACGATTTTAAAATTCCATGACTTTTCCAGGTTTTCCATGACCGTACGAACCCTGGGTCTGGATCCAAACGTATATTTTGCCGTTAAATATTGTCGTATTTCCTTCTTTCTTAATACATTAAGTATTATCTTTGTATTTACCTGTAATGCACTCTGCAGAACTGTGTGTGTGTATCACTTTGTGTACTTTGAATGTGAAGATTAACGACTGTGTTTTCTGTTCAGTACTTTTCTTTTAATAAAGTTAATTTGGTGGTTAAATGAACTAAAGCTGCGTCGTCATGAACATGGTACACGTTACCTTTGATGGTGAAGAGGATGAAGAGCGAGATGACAGCGTTGTTCAGACCGCAGGTGGACTTGGCGACGCAGGAGAGGATGGTGAACGGGTTCAACAGGTAGCTGAGAGAGAAGAAGAAACTACATCAATACTAATTTTTTATATATATATATGTACACATATACACTCTTGTGTACTCACAACATGGCCACCTTCAGAGGGATGTAGTATGTAATGTATACATAGTGTGTGTACTCCTGTGTACTCACAACATGGCCACCTTCAGAGGGATGTAGTACATCTCTTTGGGGCTCCTGATGAGCTCCAGACAATCCAGCGGGTAGCGGTCGGCCTCCAGAGCGTATTTCTGTTTCCTGAACTGAAACATGAACATTATTTAACTTTATGAGTTTTTGGTTTTACTTCAACGAGTCGTATCACGTGAACAATGACGGAATGTCCCTTTAATATCCCATTCATTGATGTTTTTAATGTATTTTCTGTGTTCTTACCACTTGTTTGTTGTAGTCCTTCACAGCCATGTAGAGACACACAGCAGTGATCACATCCGCCAGCTACAAGATTACACACAGTACACACAGTACATTAATAAATACTTCATGTTTACTCCTGGAGGCAGAGAGACGCTGAGCTCCTGAACATTCAGCTGCTCAGTCTGATTAAAGGTGATTGATGGGCTCAGAGGAGAGATGTCTGGTATATATAAACGGCTTCTTCCTCCTCACCATGAACGTTATCTCTGCGTAGTCCACCAGGAAGTGAAAGAGGTAGATGATGAGAGGAGTCTGAGGAGGACAAGAATAACAAAAAGTTATTATAATAACACACATTTATCTGTGTGCGAACTTCTTCCCCTGACTTAAAGGCGACACAGAGACTTCCTGCTTTCAATGGTTGTTCAATAGCTTCATATGTTCGTCTTTTATCTTTTAGCTTGTTTGTGCAAATGTAACGTAAACATCTGATACTTAAATCCTCTTTAGTTTCCTAAACAGATAAACTTGTATTTGCATCTTTATCTTATTTCTTTCTAAAAGAAACACATTTTATAATATTTTGCCATTCAGCTCGTTTAATTTTAAATACAAAACATTTTTACTGTAAATATACATCTTTGTGACTCTTGGCTTTTGTATTTTATCTGACTATAGCCGAGCTAACCCGAGCTAAACCTAGCTAACCCGAGCTAAACCTAGCTAACCCGAGCTAACCCGAGCTAACCCGAGCTAAACCTAACCCGAGCTAACCCGAGCTAAACCTAACCCGAGCTAACCCTAGCTAAACCTTTTAACAATTTATTAAAACTTATTAACCATGAAATTATTATTATTATTGATTATGATGAACTTTTATTAACTGCTCTCTTCTGGACTGAATGTGATCAATATTTGTGTGTGTGTGTGTGTGTGTGTGTGTGTGTGTATGCGTGTGTCTCACCTCATGGAAAACATCTCCAGAATACGGTGAGACTCCCAAGTCCAGCAAAGCCAAACCTTCAACAACTACAAACAAACAAACATGTCAAAGAAAGAAAGACAGAGTCTCACTCACTCACTCACTCACACATATATATATACACATATATATACATATACACATATACACATATACATATACATATATATATACATATACATATATATATACATATACATATACATATATATATACATATACATATATGTATATATATATACATATACATATACATATATATATACATATACATATACATATATATATACATATACATATACATATATATATACATGTGTATATATATATATACATATATATATACATATACATATACGTATATATATACATATACATATACGTATATATATACATATACATATACATATATATATACATGTGTATATACATATACATATA